GAGAATTTTGAAGACATTCATGTACAAAAACTTTTAATGTAAAATCATGCATGTTATACTTATTGAGATATTCGTATCTCACGTCCATTTTGTGGTGTAGGTAATAATGCAAATTTTGAGCATGTTGATGATGCTCTCGGTGATCGATGACTCATATGTCTTCCTTTGCGTGTTTTTAATGATTAGGTTATGCTTTAAATGAATATTTATTTTTTAAAATAATAAATTTAATGATATTAAACTTATGAATGTTGGACATTTTTACTTAAAATTTAAGTATGAATATTGAGACAAGATTATTTAGGAATGTTATGGTGAGAAATATTTTATAAATGATGAAATTTTAGAATAATGCTTCTACTATGTTAACGAGAAAATCTTATGATTATATATTATTAATGACATATTTTAAGTTTACATATTTAAAGATAAATAAGGTTAAATTAGGAATTTAATTTTAACAAAATTAAAAGGATATACGTTTTAGTATCAACCTCATTCGGTCATGACCCTTCGATTGAGGTGTCATAATTGACGAGCGTTACAAGCTTATTTATTAGCAAAGCCAAGATTTGAAATTAAGGAGGACAAAATCGATAGTCTTATGCATAAAAAAAAATACCCTAATGCTGTACATACTAAAATAAATGAACTAGCTAAATAATTAAATATTTTAAACAAAAAGTATTCATAAACATTCTTTAATAAAAAGAACAAAATTACAATTGTTCTTTATGATTCTTCAAGCCTTGGTAGTGACACATGATAAGTTCATTATTGATAGCGTTAAAGATATCATTTTCAATATATATGATCAAACAATCAAACATGTATTGATCTCCCATCTAGTTATGTAACCAATTCTATATAAATTTCTTAACAAAAAATGCTCTATCAACTATGGCGAGTTGCAATTGGTAGAACAAGGGTTAAAGTGATGAGTCTATAAACCAATGGATACAAAATTATCCTTTCTTGTCTACACCATTTTTTCAACCAGATCACCAATTCCTTTCATGTTGAAAAACTCACAACTAGACTTCATATCAACGATATATGTTTCTAATTGATTTTTAAGAGCAATGAGTTGGATAATAGAGAAATCAACAGGATAAAATTAAGTAACACGAAAAAACTTATCTTTATCATAAGCAAAGAATGAATTAGTTGGGCTTAAACATATAAAGCATAAAAAGCAATGCTCGTGTTCACCTCATCAAATTGATTATTAAGCTCTTGAAGTTGCAAATCTATAACTCGAACGAAATAACTTAACCTTGAAACGATGGATGTTTGTCACTTTCTCATTATTATGTCTATACGAGTCCCTTAGCAATATGTGTATCTTCCATATTAAGAACTTGTATATTGTGGCTAGTACAAAATAAAGATACCTCATCTACCAATGAATTCCATCCATTATCTCGTATTAATTACAAGCATTGCTTAGCTATCTTAACCAAGGCTATATCATTCACAATATCTCGATCTTTTCTTTGCAATGCTTGTGATAATTCATGAGTGATTCCTAATATGCATTTTATCAAATGAAGACAAAATGAAATATCAAAAGATTGTATTAAATCCAATAAAGTGCTAGCTTTAACTTTTTGGTCGGACTTTTCATTTTCCATGATGAATTCAAGGACATCAACTAAAGAAGAAAACATCTTAATCAAGCTAATCAAAGTAGTGTAATGTGAACCTTATCGTATCTCTCCAACCTGTTTGAGAGTATACTCTTGATTTTTCCTTATCTATTTTCAAGATCATCATTTTCAATTGCCTTTAAAAATATAATAGCTTGAAACTCTAAAAGCATATTATGGCATTTATAAGATCCCCCACTAGCATTAACAACACTTGAAACTAAACTAAAGAGCGGGGCCATGGGCATGTGATTTTTTGCAACGACTACAAATGTTAATTGAAGTTAATGTGTAAAACAATGAACATAAAGCACTTTCATTCTTTTTTAAGATTAAAGATTTAAGACCATTAAACTCACCTTGAATACTGCTTGCCTCATCATAGCCTCGACCACATAGTCTTGACATACTTAAGTTGTGTTTAGCAAATATTGCTTCAATTGCGGCTTTTAATGACAAAGCACTAGTGTTTCTAACGTGTATAATACCAAAAAGATGTTCAACCACTTTGCCTTTCTTTTTCACATAGCGTTTAACAATTGCCATTTTTTCTTTAATTGACACATCACAAGCTTCATCCACTTAGAATAGATAATAAAGCATTCCCAAGGTCTTGAAATGATGGAATTGGTGGTTTCAATTGTGTAATCACTCATAATATCTTTTTGAATATCCGAAGATCGCAATTTAAGATTTTAAGGACACTTATCTATTGCAACTCTTTTGCTATCCTCATTATGATCACAAAGAAGTTTTAAAGTTGCCTTGGAATTTTCTTGATTAGCCGAATCATTTAATTTGTAATGACCATGAAAAGTTAAATCTTGTCTTCAAAGAAATTAAACATAGTCAATTGAAGCATTTAAACGAACTTGATAGTCATTTCGTGCTTGTCTTGATTGCTTATTGACAATTGTTTGTAGATGTTGTTGTTGATTCATCAAAGCTTGACAATTATAAGAAGCTCGATTATATGTACTATTAAGACCTCCAACATGTGTTAGTCAACTTCATAAGAACTTTTTTTTCAAATTATGGCACTCTTCATCATGACTTTCTTGGTTACGAACAGGTGGTAACGATTCAAACGAGTTTTTTTCTCTTAAAGTACCTTTCCATAACTAAAAAGGAGGGGGGGGAGAGAGAATCAATAATGGTTATCAAATATATATTATATTTGTTAATTCCATCCAATAGTAACAATATTGCTTGTATAATCTCCTTAACAAAAGTATGGGTTTTATAATTTTATTCAATTAACTCAATCATTAAATAAATTTCTTTTAGCACAATTTACGTTGTAACTAATTTTATAATATATAATCTATAAATTAATCTTAACATATGCTTTTAATAAATCATAGATACAACAATTATCCAATCATAATAATAAGAATAATAAAAAAGAAATATTTCATCAAAAAAATAAAAATAAATAAAGAAGAAACATAAAGGCTAGGCACTCACAATGGCACAAAGAATAAAAACAAAAACAATACTTAATGTTTTTTCTTTACTCAAGACAAGAGAACAAAAACAATGCTTAGTAATTAGGCGGTATAAACAATGTCAAGTACCTATAGCTATTTGCTAAGGACTACGAATTAATTTATTTTAATCAAAGAAAGGATGATCTACGAGAGGAGGAAAAAAGAGATGATAACAATACAAATAAAAAAGATAAATTAAATAATCAAATTAAATAAAAAGGTGTTATAAGAATTGAAGAAGATAAACGGCATCAAGATCACTTACAAAATAGAAAAAGAGACAAAAGCTAGAGAGATAAGTAATTAAGTTTTAGAAATTTTGAGGTTTAAGCGTTTAGGCTGGTTAATTGGTTATTGGTCTATTAGTTCTTCTTTCTTCATTTTTAATTAGTACTTTATCTATTATCCATGTGATATTGACACACGAATTAGATTTAATTAAAGTTTTTTTTTAAAAAAAATGTTGGATATATAAGTAGTATTTTTTTTCTTAAAAAAATATGGGGATCAATTGTCCTTCTTACCTTATCAGTGGCTGCGCCACTAGCTACCGCTGATTCTACGATTAAAGGTAACCCTTTATTGCTTTAATGTAATCTTATGTTTATTCTAGAAAATAAATAGAAAAAAATCTCATCGCCGCTATAAAAAGGAATATATATATATAGTCAAGCACGACACGACAAATAAATGTAAAAGACAAAAACCAGGCGGAGATCATTAAATTGGTTCTGGTGTGGAAATTCAGATACAGGAATGATATATCACCCAACGATTTACGCATGTAATTATTGTCTCATAATTTTTTCTTTAAAAAATAATGAATGGATTCATCAATTAGAAAATTAGTATTAATAAAAGAATATATAAATTATAATAATTCTCGAGATGTCATGCAGTTACAGTTTAAAGATATCACAACTTTTTGGTACCAGAAGGCTCTTAATGTTAAAGAGAATATTTAATTAAAAAATATTAAGGACTTTTTTGAATGCACAAAGAATTTTGTAATAGTTACTTAAACTTGAGAATTGTTTTTATAATGTATTCAAACTTTTCAATATTCACTGTAATATCATTATATTTAAAAAGGATTTTATAATTTATCACTTAAACTTGAGGATTGTTTTTATAACATCTTCAAACTTTTGAATGTTCAGTATAATTTCATAATATTTATAATTTAGCCTTAATAAAATTGTCAGTGTACCCAGTATGTTTACTTATAATATACTATTTATATATATATATTTTTTATAAATTACCTTTTTTTTTTTAATAAACTTTTTGTTCCATTAAAAATGACTTGTTTTATGCAAAGTCAGTTGGGGGTTCTCCATATATATCACTCTCTATTGATTCATTTCGTAAACAATAAATTATTATATTCAACTATATATGATTCAAGCCGTTAAAGCAAATGAAAAATAATCCAAAATTCTTTTTCGCCAAACAGGTAAAGGTTGCTGATTCCAGAAACTAGCAGCACAACTTTGGAATATTTTAACGCACACGGTTACGCTTTACTTAATTGAAAGTGGGAGGGAGACCTCCTGATTTTGGTTAACGTGTAGAAAAGTACAGAGGGTCATAGACTGCGGGCCGGGCCACATGTGGACATTGACACAGGAGCCACATAAAATGAAGAATAGTAATTAGTTAAATTTGCCCACAGAAAAATATTTCTCTACAAATACTCATTTATTCCAACCAATTCTGCGAACAAATAATCCATTTATCATCTTCTTTCATCAAGTTTCTATTCTTTTCCATTTTTTCATCAAACCTAATTACCTTCAACATACCATCATCATCTCTTTCTAGTTTTAATTGTAACATGGAAATGGAACTAGAGCAATCCATGCTGAGAGATACCACTCCTAGTGCTCAAGCTATGACCTCAAAGAAGACTAACACTTCCACCATTTTGGCAAACAACTCATCATCGGTTACAATAGGTAGCAGCAGTGGCCGTGGTTCCTCATCTTCTTCAATATCGTCATCTATTAAAGATCTTTTCCGTTGCTTCGAATCCTTTAGGACACTAAATATTGGTGTCCCAAAGAGCAACTCCACCGAAAAAAACTGGCATGGTTGCGCTCTCAAATTATTGGTGATGGTGTAGAGTTTGATTCTCCCTTCGGAAAAAGAAGACTCACCTATGCTGATAATACAGCCTCTGGCCGATCTCTTCACTATATCGAAAATTTTATCATCAACAATGTTCTTCCCTTTTACGGTAAGTTATTATTGTTTTACTTTCTTCATTTTTGTTACAGACTTCATAGTTTTTCATTTTTCCATTTTCAAGTTGGCAATGGCATGAGCCTTGATCACACCTGAAACCTTCCATAACCCTTTTGCAATATATATATTTTTAATCAAACTTCGAGACGAAAATTTGGTTGCTCAGGATAATATGTTTTTCGTCAGCAAAGATGTTGCCGACTATATATGTATATCTTCTAGCTACTAGTTAATTAGTTCGCTAGGTTAGGTATGGTGGCCAAATCTTCCAAATTAATGTAGGCAGTTAAGTTTTTTCGAATTTAAATTGACGTGCATGAATGATTTAATGGTACTTGGATTTCAACCATTAATTTAAACAATATATATATATATATATTCTGCAACTTACTACCTCTGTGTCAGAAAAAAAGTATTTTTCTTCTGAGTTAACCATTAGGAATTAATGTATGCACAGGGAATACACACACTAGTGACAGTCATGTGGGGCATCGGACCACAAAAATGTTGCATGAAGCTGCTGAATATATCAAGAAATGCTTAGGTGGCGGGCAAAATGATGCAATCTTGTTTTGTGGCTCAGGCACAACCGCAGCTATTAAAAGATTACAAGAAGTGATGGGCATTGCCGTGCCATCAGTTTTGAGAGATAGGGTAATTAACTGCCTAAGTAACGAAGAGAGATGGGTGGTTTTTGTCGGTCCTTATGAGCACCACTCGAATCTCCTCTCATGGAGACAAAGCTTAGCTGAAGTGGTAGAAATAGGTTTAGATGACGATGGTTTGATAGACGTGGAAGATCTAAGACGACGACTTGAATCATATAAATGTGCCAACAGGCCCATTTTGGGTTCCTTTTCAGCCTGTAGCAATGTGACTGGGATTTACTCAGATACTCGAGGAATTGCTCAGCTTCTTCATCAATATGGTGGTTTTGCTTGTTTTGATTTGGCTGCAAGGTAATCCAAGTTATTCTTGTTTTTCCTTCTTATTTTTTATTGATCAATGCAATAATTAATTAATTTCAACTGTCTATGCATGACAGGCACCACTGGAAGTTAATTTTGTTTATTGCATCATTAAATTGCTAACTTCCTGGTCTTATATTCCTTTTGTTTCTTTGGTTGATGTAGCGGTCCATATGTGGAAATAGACATGAGATCTGGAGAGATTGATGGTTATGATGCAATTTTCCTTAGCCCACACAAATTTCTTGGGGGGCCTGGATCGCCGGGAATACTTCTGATGAGCAAAGCCCTTTATCAGCTGGGATCTTCTGCTCCATCAACTTGCGGAGGTGGAACTGTTAACTATGTAAATGGTTTCAATGAAAAGGTATGCCTTGTATGTTTCCAAGACAATGAGCTAGGCTTAGCTTGGATGTCAACTCGAATTAATATTTCTTTATGATCAATTGCAGCAAACACTGTACTTGAACGACATAGAAGAGAGAGAGAATGGGGGAACTCCTCAAATAACCCAAACCATTAGAGCAGCATTGGCCTTTTGGGTTAAAGAGTACATTAGCTACCAATTGATTGAGAAACAAGAGAAAATGTACATAGAAAAGGCACTCAACAGGCTTGTTCCGAACAAGAATATATGGGTTTTAGGTAACACTACAGCAGCCAAACGACAAGCTATTTTGTCCTTCCTCATATACTCTACTACAAACTCTTCCTCAACGGGCATGATAAATGAGAGTAGTAGAATTGATAGCGAAGACATCAATGATGGGGTTCTTTACATGTGGAGAGAGACGGGGAACGAAAGAGGCAAACCTCTTCATGGACCTTTCGTAGCAGCACTCCTTAATGACCTATTTGGTATTCAAGCTCGAGGTGGTTGTGCTTGTGCTGGACCTTATGGTCACTCTTTGCTCCACGTCAATGAGCCTACCTCCCTGGCCTTCAGATCTGCCATAGACAAGGTATATAATTTTCTTAATATACGTTTGAAATTTGATTTTCTGTGACAGTTAAAATTTTGGGAAAATGTCCCTCAAATTATGTTCTGTCGTGGCATTTTTATTTTTCAAGTACTTCCACCTATATTTATGATATATATATATGAACATTTACATAATTAAATCCGGAAATAAGCAACATTTTAACCACTTAAACTAGATGTTGTAATTGTAGCATATATAGCAGAGTTTGATGCCATTATTTTGATACTTTAATTACAGGGTTATGCCGGAGTGAAGCCAGGATGGACGAGGATCAGCTTCCCCTACTACATGTCCAACGAGGAATTTGAGTTCATTCTGACTGCAATTGAGTTCATAGCCATTTACGGCCAGCGATTTCTTCCATTATATCACTTCAGTTGGAAAACTGGTAGCTGGACTTTCAAGAAAAGGGAACTGAAGGACCTGGTAGATAAAGAAAACAATGGTCAGCTGTTTGTTAGTAAGTTTGCATCATATTTGACGAGGGCTAAACTTATTGCAACTCTGCTTCCCAAATTCCCTTCCCAACGTAAGATCCCACAGGACATAGACCCCAATCTCTTGTACTTCCGAGTCTAGTCTACCTCTGTTGGCTACAAATTATTCCTGTGTGCAGCCATGGTCATCTGAAGCAATATAAAAGAAATTAATTTATAATTTAGTTAGAAAATTAAATAAAAAAGCAATTGGTTTTTTGTTTTTCAGTTGGCTTTTTTCTTTTATCATCTGGTTGTTTGAAATATTGAATTTATGTTATTGGCCCTCAAAGTTCTATTTTTATTTTTTCCTCCAAATATTGAATTTCTGTTATTGGCCCACAATCGTCAACCTCAGACCAAGTTCCCAAAAAAAATTATATTCGTTAGTTTGCGTGAAAGTCGTCCAAAATCTCTGGATAATCATGACAGATAATAAAACGGGCCCAAATTTGCCATACGACTAGTCTCTCAAGAAGCATAACACGAAATTTTCAATGTTCTTGGTTTTTCTTCTCTCTCTGTAGTTGGCAGGGAGTGGAGGGTTGCAAAAAAGGTTTTTTTTTTAGGCATTGAAGGAAGTTTTATCCCATCCTGAACCTTGACTGTCAAGCACAACAACGGTCAAACGCAAATGCTTGCTAGGGAAGGAAAGTCGTTGTCAAAGAATTTTAAAAAATGGGATACGTGGACAACGGCTAAGGGAACACTAGAGAGCAGCAAAAGACATGCACCCGCCTTCTTTTGCTTTCTTAGATAGAAATTGTAGAAACCGCATCAGGCTTATTGTTACATAGATCTTCTCAAATCTCAAGTATTTTGCACTAATGTTATAAACCAACGTATTTTGTACTAGTGCTTGTTTTTCCTCTGTATTTGAGACAACCAAAGCCACAGTGATGGAACTTGATTTGGGTCCATCATCCATGATGTTTGATCTCCATATTACAAAGAAATTTGCCTACATTCTTTTTTAACAAGAAAAGAATTTTGCCATTTTACAATGAATGCTTTGTATCAGCAAACTTTGCTTCTTCTTCTTTTCTTGTTCATTTACCTGAGAATGTATAGAACCTCTAAAATAATAAATTAAAAAAAAAAAACCAAGAAAAGATTTATTGAATTTAAAAGATTCTCCACTGTATTTGTTTTGAGATCAAAATACCTCAATAAGCGCGTTTAATCTTAGGCTCCGTTTGTTTGGGGAAAAACAAGTTCCATAGGAAATCAATTTATGAGGAAGCTATTTTCCTAAAAATTATTTTCCAAGAAAATATTTTCTACTTGTTTGGCTATTATATGAAAAAGCCACTGAAAAATATATTCCAACGTTTGTTTGATACGAGAAAATTAAAATACAAAAACTTATGTGATTGTTATATCAACAAGTTTTAAGAAAATTTTAAAAAGACATTCATAATTTTATAATATAAGATACATTTAGAAAAATTTAATAAATTTTCATCAATACTAACTCTAAAATTTTAATTCAAAAAATAAAATGTATTTTTTTAACAATCAAACCAAATTATCAAAATTACTTGGGACAAAATTAAGTCAATATTCATATTTGGTAAAAAAAAAAAAAGATTCTAAGTAATCTTAGCATTATTATTTTAGTAACTCAATTAAGAATTTTTTTTTTAAGAAATTGAACTGATAATTTAGTCTAAAAAATAATTTGATAAATTATTTGTTATCATCTATAGATAATTATTTATTTGATCTCAAAAGATTAATGTTGGAATAATTTGTAACTAATTATTCATTACAATTACCAACAAAATTTTACAATTGATTAAAATTATAAATTATTGATTTAATTGCAAATGAATAGTGTTAAAAATATAATGTATTTATTGATGAATTAATTAATTTTAATTTCTTTTTACAAAAAATTATAGTCTTGTAATAATCATTTTCAATCATTTAACTATAGCTTAGGTAGTGATTGAGACAATAGTAAAAAAAAGAGATAAGTTATTGAAATATTTATTATAAAAATAATTTTAAGGTGTAAAAATGGTTTTTAAGAATATTTAATGTATCTATAAATCAAAAAATTAAATATTAGTAAAGATAGAGAAAAAATAATTAAATAATTGATAATAATTGATAAGAAATAATTAAAAATTAATATGATATATTTTAAATAAAAAGAAGATAGAGAAAAAAATTGTTAAAATATATCGAGAGAGAGTTATGTAACGAGAGAGCGAGACGACTAGTGAGAAGGAAAATGTTTTCCTTTTTGAAACTGGTAAAACATTTTTTCCAAATTACTCTATCATTTTCCGTTGACTGAAAATCATATTCCATTGACTTTTTTTCTAAATGTGAAACAAACACTGGAAAATAGAAAAAACAAGTTCTAAGAACTTGTTTTCTCCCAAACAAAGGCAACCTTATATGCACAACTAGAGATCCTCAGCTAAACCCTTGTGCTTTGTAGGGCCATGACAGCCTCAAAGTTGTAATCTTCTAATTTAGTCCTTATATTTAAAATTAGTTTATAATAATTTTACATTTCCCCCAAAGTAATTGGAATAATTTTTTTTTTAAGATTACCATATATATATATATATATATATATATATATATATATATATATGATAGCACCCGATCCCTCGCAAAATTCCAATTCGTCCTCTGCTTTCTTTGCCAACTGAACCAACCCACCTATTTGAGCGTAAGCACACATATTGAGAATGCAGTGATTATTTGTACCTTGTATTTTGTCAAACACAATCTGCTTTAGGATTCGAAGAAATTAAGAGCGTAAAACCAGCGACACTACCTGTCAATGCAAGCTCTTCACCCATAGAGACATGTCTGACTGTTTCAGGTTGCTCACAAGTTTGGAAGAATCCAAACAATTTCCTTCATCATTGACATTCATCGTACTTGCAAAATGCATATAATACTTTAAATTTTATAAAAGCTCAGGACTTTCCATTAGGAGTCATTATCTAAGTTGGTTAATATTATTATTTTCAATTGGAGAAATGAGTTGGTCTGCATGCATGTTGATTAGATTGATTAAAACATGCATAAAAAAACCATACACAGAACATACTTTTAAAGTTGGCAAACCAACATTTTTTTTAATTAGATTTTATTTCAACTCTCCATAGAGAATTCTTTGAATTTGAAAAAGAAAAAAAAAAAAAGATCCAAAACCATGGGTCCACGAAGACATTTACTTTTAGAAAATGAAAGTACTTATTTTCATTCAATTAATCTTCCAAATGAATGCACCTTCTCCACTTACATAGAAACAAAATGCATTTTTAATCTCAAGTTGGAACCGATTCTCCTTTTGGGAGACAACTTGCAACTAACTTTTATCCACTAATATATATATATATATATATATATATATATATATATATATAAAAGTTAGTTGCTAGTATTATAAAAAATAAAAAATAAAAATAAAAGAACTGGGGGTGAGACTGTTTAGTTACTGTAGCAATCCCACCCCTAGCCAATACCTTTTTTTTTTTTCTTTCTCTCATCTGTTTTATTTTATTTTTTTCCCCTAAAGGCTGAGCTGCTTCCTTCACTGCAGCATTGTTACACTGTAGCATTTTTTTTTTTTTAAGGGTTGGGCTGCTAGAATTTCATTGTAGCATTCTTCTTCTTCTTCTTTTCTTTTCTTTCTTTTTTTTTTTTTTTAAATTTTAAATTTCTATATGTTCTCACATAGCAATTATTCCCCTTCCATATAAATAATTTTTTTAATCATGGAACTAGATCTGAAAATTTAAAAAAATCATTTTTTTTTATTTTACGTATAATTTGACAATAATAGAATATGTATGATATTTTAAAAAATTTTAATTTGAACATATATATCTGATTATATTAGTTTTATTATTTAAAATTTATTTCTTCAATTGTTTGTTTCTTACTAAAATTCTCATCGAATTAATTTTTAAATTTTATATAATTTTATTTGTTAATAAATTTGATTTTTTTTATATATGGCTTTTGAAATAAAATTTTAGAAAATGTTTGTTTTATTTTCTAAAATATATTATTAAAATTTTATATGATTGGTTATTTTTATGATTTTTTTTTAATGAAAATGACATTGTTGCGTATATAGATTCGATGAGAGAGAGAGAGCTAAAAGTGTGTTTTAGATAATTGACTTAACTTTTTAAATCATAATAATAATCGGTTAAAAAATAATTTGGCTTGGTTTTTTTAAAAAAATTAATAATTAGTTAAAAAATTTACAAGTTTAATAAATTTAATTTTTTTATATATGGCTTTTGAAATAAAATTTTAGAAAATTTTTGTTTTATTTTTTAAAATATATTATTATAATTTATATGATTGATTATTTTTATAATTTTTTAATAAAAATTGCGTTGTTGTATATATAGATTCTGACGTGAAGGAAAGAGAGCTAAAAATATGTTTAAAAAATTTGATTTAATTTTTTAAATAATAATAATCAGTTAAAAAAATAATTATTAAGTCATGGACTTAAACCTTTGAATTTAAATTTACAGAAGTGAATTACGTAGATCCTTGTGTTTATCTTTTTGTACCAAAATTTTTCTGCCAATATAATTCCGCTCTGTTTTAATCCTTAACATTAATTAATTATGAAAAAAAATTTAATACTCTCTTAGCTGATGTTTACTGTCATTTGCCTAAAAAATATGATATTTCTTATTAAAATGCCAAAAATACCACCCTCTTCCTTCTCTCTCTCCCTCCAAAATACTCAACCTATCAATAATCCAAAAACCGTCATCTCATCTCCAATATCGGAGCAAGAAAAAAAAAGGTTTTTTTTTTTTTTTTTTTTTTTGAAGGATAACCTATAACAAAATAACAATTATATTAAGTGAAATTATTAAATAATGAAAATATGTAAACGAATATAAAAACCCCATAAACTTGAGTAGATATATTCGTTTCATTAGCTTAAAAAAAGAACTACATCGTGAGGTGTATATAGACGACCTTTTGAATTATATTTTTGTGCTTTTGTTTTCCATTTTTAAAGATTTTTGTGAAATATTATCACATTTATAGAAATTTGAAATAAAAATTTTATAGAAAAAAATGAAACTCGAAAGAAAT